TAAAATAAATATCCGTGAGTCCATACTGATATATGTGATTGAATGAATAAATAAATAAATGGGGGAAAATAGATAAATCTCCCATGTAGAAGAATTCCAAATAATCTATGTAGATACTCTGTCTTCAAGGAGAGGGAACATAACTTGCCATTCCTTATATGTGGGCTGTGCATAGTGACTTGCTTCCAAAGAGTGTGGTATTGGGGGGGAGAGGAGAGTAGCTTTGCAATGAAGAAACCTGACAAACACTCCCTTGGCCAGATGATCAAGGTCTGCATCAACAGTGATAAATCATGTTGATAGTAGGTACACTTGATATGATGTGGTGAGAATGGCACTGTAGCTCTGTGGTGTTCTTCCCCCAAATCCATAACTCCAGTCTGATCATGAGAAAAATACCAGACAGATTCCAATAGTGGGACATCCTACAAAATACCTGAACAATATTCCTCAAAACAGTCAGGGTCATCAAAACCAGCAAAGTCTGAGAAACTCACAGCCAAGGGGACATGACAATTAAAGGTTGTGGTATCCTGGGTGGGATCCTGGGACAGAAAAAGGACATTGGATAAAAATGAAGTATGGGCTTTAGTTAATAATAATGTATCAATATTAGTTCATTAATTGTAATAAATATACCATACTAATGTAACATGTTAATAATAGGGGAAACTGTATGGGGTAAATGAGAATTCTGTACTGTTGTCTCAGTTTTTCTATAACTCTAAAGCTATTCTTAAAAATATAGTCTATTTTTTTAAGAACAGTATATATAACAAATACATTGAATAATATAAAAGTAAATTTAAAATTCAGGTGTTCATGTCCTATTCCCCAGAGCTTAACCATAAACCTGGGAAGAGAGCCTTAGCATCTTTTGTTTTAAGCTCCACAGGTGATGCTAGTTTGTGGCCAGAGTTGAGACATTATTTTAGGAATTCATGCCTGCTCGAAAATCTAATTTCTGAATTTTTAAAAATCATGAACAATCAGGGGCCAGCCCAGTGGCATAGTGGTTAAATTCATGGGCTCCACTTCTGTGGCCCAGGGTTCGTAGTTTCCGATCTTGGGTGCAGACCTATGCACCGCTTATCAAGCCATGCTGTGGCGGCATCACACATACAAAGTAGAGGAAGATGGGCACGGATGTTAGCCCAGGATCAATCTTCCTCAGCAAAAAGAGGAGGATTGGCAACAGATCTTAGCTCAGGGAGTCTTCCTCACCAAAAAATAAAAATAAAAATCATGAACAATCAATCCCTATATATTCAAATCATTATTAATAGGATTTTGTTTTTTGTTTCTTTGTGGTTTTTTTCCTCAGTATAATTGTTTAGATCTTTTAAAGTGTGTGCCCATGATTTATTTGCTTGTTTCTTCTTTTTAGATGTTTAATATGTTGACTTCATAATGTTTTTAAAGCTTGGTCACACTGTTTCCCTGATACTCAGTGGCAATTTTTAATATTCTCTCTTGCTTTTTTGAGGCCATATTTTCTGTTCATTTTATGCTGACTTGCTTTCAGATAATTCCTAAATATTATACCAAACACACCTATAAATCATAATCGTGAAGAGCAGAAATCTGTTTTTCATGGCCTAGTATTACATTTATCCCCCCTTGGAGCTCTGTAATTTCTCGACTATATAGGTAAATATAGTATGTAAACATTTGCTAGTCTAGAAAATTACTTTGTTCTTTATTTAATCACTGAAGGCTTTCCAGCCTGGTACACAAATGATTATTTTATTTTAAGTAAATATTCTTAATACTCCCTATAATTCTTTTTACTTGCTCTTTAATCTCTTAATAATGTCAATATGAATGCATTAGGTCATGTGTTTATCAAGAAGATTATTTTATATGGATTTTTTCTAAGCCATAAATTTTTTATTTTAATGTTTGTCTTTTCTCATTGATGTGTTTATTTAGTTCTTTAGTTATTGGGACTTCTTGTTTGGTCAAAACAGTATTAATGATCCATATAATTCACCAAAGATAGTTTCTAGAGAGAAGTGTTCCTTGTTGTCTTGCTTCTGTCTTCTTACTGTATAGTCTAGACCCTGATAACCTCTTTCCTGACTGATAGCTTCAGCCTTCTTCAGGAGCTTGCTCTCTGGTCTCTTCCTATTCCAGTCACTGCTTCACAGTGCCATCAGCATTATCTTTTTAAAACACACATTTGACCTTGTTACTGCCTTGCTCTGGGACCCTGTGTCCCTCTTGGGTATAGAATAATATAAACCACTAGTATTTTATCAGTCACACTGCAGAGTGTTTTATAGCCATCAAGTAATTTAATTTTGACAAGAACACTATAAAGCCAGTACTCCTGTTATTCCCAATTTATAGACCAGAAAGTGAGCGCATAGAGGTTAAGCAGCCCATCTAAGGTGCTATGGTTAGTAGGCGGCAAAGCTTGAACCCAGCTCTATTGATGTGAAATTTTCTGTTTATGACGTCTTTCTGCCCAGCGCCCCCGTACCTCATTCTTCAGTCACGGGGGTCTATTTACCTTCTCCCGTTTACTTTGTATTTTCTCAACAATGGTCTTGACACTTTCTCTTTCACTTTCTGCCCATGAAAACCTTGCTTCTCTTTTTGTGATTCTGCTCAAATATCACTGTTAAAGTGATAGTCTACCTTCCCAGTTAAAGTTTTTTATTCTCTCTTCTAGAATTTTATTTTTGGCATTTCCCTCATCATGTTGTATAATAGTTGTTTTATTTCCATCTTCCTACTAGATTGTAAGCTCCTGGAAGGCAACGACTGTCTTACCTTTACAAACCTTGGGGCCAATGCCTTATGGTTAGAAGACCATGCAAAAAATACGAATTTTTAAAATGTTTTATTCATAGAAATATTTTGTTAGAGATTTTATTTTTATAAGGATGGAATGTGGAATCCTTTTTTATTAATCCTTAAGAATTGTTGCAACTAAGTTATGGGGATGTTTTACTCCTCATTAGATGTGTTTGAATTTAGTAGTAACTTCATAAAATGTAGTAAAATTTTAATTTTAAAATTTAAATTAAAATGTAATAAAAATTTTTTGATGCTATCTTTTTAGTTATCTTTTCAATTGAAAATTCTTATGCTGTTAGATATATGTTTAAAGCATATTATGAAGTTTTAAAAACATTATTGGTAACTGAAGTAATTGAAAGGAGAATTAGTATTATAACAATTCTAAATATGTCTACTTTTCCATCATTTACTCAGGTTTAAAAAAATACAGATAAACTCTTAAATTTCTAATTAAGTCATTGTTTTCAATTTTTTTAATTTAAGCTTTTAAAAAAATTGAGACCTTTTAAGAGATATACAGTATACATAAGAATTTTTAATGGGAAAATTAAGGTCAGAAAATTAGATCAAGCCAGGTTGGTATCTGCACCTAAAACACATGCCTTAAGATCCTAGACTGATGTTAGAAGTGGGCTACATATTTGGCTTTGCTTTTTCCAGTGGGCAGAGTAAACAAGAAAACATGATTAGTTACATGATCAAATCATTCATATTATAAAACCAACCAGAGAAATCTCTTATGGGTTCTCAGAAAGAAGGGTTACCCTATGAAGTAGGCGCACCATGTCCTGAGCAATATCCTTGCAACAAATGCATCTACAGATTAGTGTTACTGGTACATATCAGGCCGTTCAGTGCAGGCCACTGACATGCTGTGTAGTTTGTTACAGGATATTCTATAAAGAGCCGAAAGAAGTCAATGAAAGTATACAATTCTGAGATCAACTAAAGAAATTTGAAATATCTAGAGCGGCATTTCCCAAGGCACTGGTGGTTTAGAAGATGGTCTCATTTTTAAATTGACTTTAAAATTAAATAGTTATTTTGTAAGGCAAGTCCTTAAAATTTTCTCTTAAATAACTATTGTTAACTATAAAAAATTTTAGAACTCATACTTTTCATACTTTAGTCTTTAGTATACTAATCCCCCAAGTGTCTCAGCCATGTAATCACAAAATGTAGAAGCCCTGAAATAACATACATAGGGCATATGTGAACAGATCTGCAAGTCTCCTGCTCTGGCCAAAGGTTTTTTAAAAAGAAAGGTACCATAAAGAATCATGTATTTAGGGGCCAGCCCTGTGGCTTGGCGGTTGGGTGCGCGCGCTCCGCTGCTGGCAGCCCGGGTTCGGATCCCGGGTGCGCACCGCTTCTCCGGCCATGCTGAGGCCGCGTCCCACGTGCAGCAACTAGAAGGATGTGCAGCTATGGCATACAGCTGTCTACTGGGGCTTTGGGGGGAAAAATAAATAAATAAAATCTTAAAAAAAAAAAAAAGAATCATGTATTTGTAATTACAATGAGCAGATTAAAGAAAATTATTTAGATAGATGTAGAGGCTGTAGGCGCATTTGGCAAAAATGTTGGAATTGGTACTCTTGTGGCTGTAGTTTGGGAATTATTGATCTTCTACCGGCACTAGTCAATAGAATTTACTGTGATGATGAAAGTATTCTATGTCTGCACTGTCCAGAATGTTAGCCAGAAGCTAAGGTGGTGACTGAGCACATGTAAGGTGACTAGTGTGACTGAGGAACTAAACTTTTAATTTTATTTAATTTTAATTAACTTAAATTTAAATAACTGCACGTGGCTAGTAGCTAAACCATATAGGAAGCTCAGTTCTAGAGGACAGGAAAGACTGCTTCCCTCTCAGGCTATGTAAGATAGAGTAATAGTAAGTTCAAGATTATTTTCTCCATCAATAACTGAATAAAGAAATCCTATATTTCTAAGAGACATGTATTTTAAGATAATCAATGATTAATTATATTTGTTTACTTCTCTGTCTTTGAACTTGAAATTTAAGCGGGATGCTTGAGTACGCGGTGGGTCTTTCAGGTATCAATAGAATTGTTAGCAAATAGTGTTAGGGTAAAAACTCCACTTAAAATTTTTTCATAAGATTGAGATATTTACTTATAAAAATAGAAAGCTTAAGGGTATACTGAGAAATTACTATTTTCCTGCAGTTTCCAGAGTGTGGATTCTTTGGCATGTATGACAAAATTCTTCTCTTTCGCCATGACATGAATTCAGAAAATATTTTGCAGCTGATTACCTCAGCAGATGAAATACATGAAGGAGACCTAGTAGAAGTTGTTCTTTCAGGTAAGTAAATAACTTTTTTCATTTTGTTGCCTTTTTTTCCAATGAGACTTATTTTTTGTACTAAATGCTATGTTCAATTATATTTAGTCTTTGTATTATAGTTGCTCACTTTTTTCTTCTATAATATTGGTTACTATGTGATTTCTGCTTCAGGCAGGTTATATCACAGATGAGAAAGTAGGAAAATAAGCCCAAATAAGCCCTGCATTACTTATTTGAATGTTACTAAGCTAAGGGAATTATCAGTTGAATTGGAAGAGGAATATACTCTTCTTTGAGACAAAGAAAATAATTACACTGAAATTCTGCTCCCTTTTCTCTATTTCTGTGAAGAGCATAGAATAAGAGAATTGGAGTTCAGAAAAGAAAATCAGAAAAAAAGAAGTAATGAAGATGTGGAAGAGGACACTGCAATACTGTTTATTTCCATGACTTCAATAGTGCTCCTTTCCTTTTTGTTCTCAGTTGGCATTTTCTCACCTCTCTCCTTTCCTCCTCTCACCTGTTCTTGCCATTCACTGTTCCTTAGCTCCTGCTATTTCTGATCTCATCCGGCAGCAGGTGGGCAGGATTGTTAGTGTGGAGCATAAAGGAACAAAGAATGCATATAGTAGGCCTGCAAAACTTCTTGTTTGGCAGGAAAGAAGGGAGGGACAGAGAAAAAGAGGGTGAGAGGGAGGGAGGGTAGGAAAGGAAGGAAGGCTAGCCGAGAGTCCAGGGTCCTGCCACCATTTTTTCCAAACTCGTCTTTGCAGCCTGTTCTTTTGTGTGTGTGTGTGTGTGAGGAAGATCGGCCTTGTGCTAACATCTGCCAATCCTCCTCTTTTTGCTGAGGAAGACTGGCCCTGGGCTAACATCTGTGCGCATCTTCCTCCACTTTATATGGGACGCCGCCACAGCATGGCTTGCCAAGTGGTGTGTCGGTGTGCACCTGGGATCCAAACCGGCAAACCCTGGGCCACCGCAGTGGAGCACATGCACTTAACCGCTTGCACCACCGGGCCAGCCCCTTTGCAACCTATTCTTGATATCCTCTCTGACCATCACCTTTTCTTCTTTTTTTTTTTTTTTGTGCTGAGGACAATTAGCCCTTAGCTAACATCTGTTGCCAGTCTTCCTCATTTTTTTTTTTTTTTTTTGAAGATTAGCCCTGAGTTAACATCTGTGCCAGTCTTCCTCTACTTTATATGTGGGTCACTGCCACAGGTCTGTGCCTGGGATCCGAACCTGTGAACCCAGGCCGCCAAAGTGGAACACGCCAAACTTAACTACTATGCCATGGGGCCGGCCCCTCACCTTTTCTCATTAGTCCCTGATCCTTCCCATTCATCTAGCCCGTAACACTGATCACTCATCTTCTACACCACAACCCCAAACATCTATACACTTCCTAGTCCTTGTCTTCCTCTTCACTTGGGGGCTTCACTCCCTGTCCTCCCTGGAGATCATGCTCACATCCGTTCCATCTTTGATACGGACCCTTCATCAGCCAGGAATATCCACTGATGACTTGCAGGTGTAAGTGAGAGGATGTCTACTGGTGGATGTGTCTCCTTTGCAGTTGCTAATAGAGGGGAGGAGTCTCTTTTTCTTAACCACTAGGACTGTAGAGAACAGACAGACAGTGTATCCTGGGATCATAAGTTAGAACTCAGTGCATTTCCCACAGAAACACTGCTATAAATTGAGGTTAACTTCCATGGTTTTATAGCATGTTTTTTGTTTTTTGTCTTTAGTGTTCTATTTTCCAGTGTATTGTAAGTTAAATCGTTTTTAATTGGCTAAAACAGACCCAACAACTATATGCAATCTTATCACTATGAGAAAATGCTTTTGGAGGTTACCTACAGACCTGCTTTTGGAACTCAAATTATTTGAAGCTGATAAACTTCCTAAAATAGAGTTTAAAAAGCACAGTATTCAATGCTGAAAATAATTTGTATTTATGGTCAGGTGAAACTTGAAGAGAAAAAATGAATTTGTGTATTTTGACATAAGTGAACATGGTCAACATTCTTAATCTCATCACAATTACAAAGATAAGGTTTATTTTAAAACTTTTCTTTTTTAAAAGCTTTGGCCACAGTAGAAGACTTCCAGATTCGTCCACATACTCTCTATGTACATTCTTACAAAGCTCCTACTTTTTGTGATTATTGTGGTGAGATGCTCTGGGGATTGGTACGTCAGGGACTGAAATGTGAAGGTATGTGTTCTAAATTTTTGTATCATTTGAAATAGGATTTCACATTTGCATTCTCTCATCAATGAAAGAACAAAATCATTAGTTGGTTACTAGGTAGTAACCAAGTTTTAGAATTGGAGGGATCTAGACTATGGTCCTTCTCTGCCACTTACTTGGTCATATTCTTGGGCAACTTACTAAACCTCTCTGAGGATCATTTTCTCTGTCTGTAAAATGTACTCCACCCACTGGTTTCGAGAAGTAAATAGTTAAATGAGGTCATGTGGGTAAAATACCTGGCACAAAGTAGTGGCTCAATACATATTAACTTTATAACTTATCGTCTTTTTAAAACCTTAGTTTTTTCCACACAGCAGCAAAGTTGTTCTGAATTAGAATTGCTGGAGGTAGGATGCAGGTGCACGTTTCTGATGAAGAAACAGTCCTCTGAGATGGAGGATCAATAAACTTTTTCTGTAAAGGGCCAGAGAGTAAATTTTTTAAGCTTTTCTGGTCATATGGTCTCTGTCCTGACTACTTAACTCTGCTGTTGTAGCATGAAAGTAGCCATAGAAAAGATGTAAACAAGTGAGCATTTGTGTTTTAGTAAAATTATTTATGAACACTGAAATTTGAATTTCATATAATTTTCACATCGTGGGAGAGATTTGGTACATAGTCCACAGTTTGCTGAAGTGCTTTAAAGCCAGTGGTTCTCACACTTGACTGTGTATCAGAATCACCTTGAGGACTTGTTAAAACATACTTTGCTAGGCCCCATCCCCAGAGTTTCTGATTCAGTAGGTCTGGAGTGGAGCCCAATAATTTACATTTCTAACAAATTCTCAGATGATGCCTCGGGGACCACACTTCAAGAACCACCACTCTAGCTAACTTACCTTTCTATACATTTCCTCTTTTTCCTGAATTTGTTAGCTTCCACTTAGCCTGTCATCTGGGTTCTTAATTAGGGTATCGATTGCTGCCAGAGAAAATAGATTAAATAAAAGAAACACCTATTTTTTATGTAACATACTTACAGAGTAAAGTTTTTTTTTAATCTACTTATTGTTTTACCTTTTAAAATATACTTAGGCTGTGGATTAAATTATCATAAACGATGTGCCTTCAAGATTCCCAATAACTGTAGTGGAGTAAGAAAGAGACGTCTGTCAAATGTGTCTCTGCCAGGACCTGGCCTCTCAGTTCCAAGACCTCTGCAGACTGAATATGTAGCCCTTCTCAATGAAGAGGTATGTGTTCTAAGGTAATAGAGGGGCATTTTACTACTTATTCCTTGTGTTTCTATAGGATATATGACATCATCCTAGAACATAAGTTATATACCAAAGAATGGTAACACTCTTACACTTAAGTAAGTTTGAATGTATTAATGGGAACAGGACTACCCAGTAGTAATGAATTGCACTTCGTATACTTTGAGATCACATTATCACTTGGACCCCACTGCATTAGCAATCCTAACCAGTATCCTGACTCCTGGTCTCCATACTTCATTTTATACACTACAGCCAGATTATCTTATTACACTACAGCTTAGTATACAACTCTGATTACATCACTCCCCAGTAGGAAACCTTTATATATTCTGTTTCCAACAATCTACTATTCAACATTCCTTGAACACACCCTTGTTCCCCCTACCTTTGCTTTTGTTGGTATTCATCCTACATGCCTTTTCCAGACCTAGCTCAACAGCTGCCTTTCCTGATTTTTCCCCTTACCTAGAAGTTATTGTATTTTATTTTTTCTTTTTTTCCCATGTGTTTAGCATTTTATTCAACAAATATTTATTGAGCATGCGCTATGCCCCAGGCACTATTCCAGGCTCTTCTGATACAGTGTTGAATAAGACAAAGTCTTTGTCCTCATGGAGCTTATATTTTCCTCAGGGAAGGTGAGGGGGAGACAGGGACAGATATTTTGGTGATGCATGGTCAATTTTTTTTAACTTATAGGTTAATTAATTATTTTATTTTTTGAATGCCATAGCAGTTTTCAGTCCTCCCTAGTGATGTGTATAGCATCCTACCTAATATCATAGTGTTTATCTGCTAGATTGTCCTCAAGGAGTTTATGATCTATTTAGAGAAGACAATGCTCATGTCTTTGTGTGCCCCACCATGCTCAGCACAATACCTGGTACTTAGGTGATGAATGAATGAGTAAGTGAATGACCCCACTGATCTTTACAGTATTCCAGTGAGATATATCAGTAGATCTGTATACGAGGAGGAAAGTGAGACTCAGAATGGTCAAGTGATTTGGCTGATGTCACAGAGCAAATTAGTAAGTGTTGTTAGAATTAAATCCAGATCTGATTATTTTTAGATCAATGACTTTTCCTAATATATTGTACCCTTCAAGGGTAAAGGTAATAGATTAAGGAAGAAAGAAATAACTCCCTTCTTCATTTGATAGTATTTAAGATTGCAGTCTGTGGATGGGAGTCATTTTATCAGTTACTTGTTTCTGTAAGCCCTTTGGTCTTCTGTAAATTAATGGCAAAATCAAGCCTTTGGGCTGTTGTCTTGACACCCTAGTCACAAGATTTTGCTAAACTAAGACACCAGAGTAAAATCTTCTGAAATTCTTTCACAAAAATCCCGTATTTCCATATTGCTTAGCCCTACTGTGAGATTTTTAAAGTAGGAAAAGAGTGCTGTGGTATAAGGAACTGAGAGCTAAGAGTTATTATAAACATATGCAAGAGCTTGGGGAAAGATTGGTAATAGAAAAGTTAGTGCATTTTATACACTGACCTGCACAGGGAACTTAGCTGGAAATGGGGACTGTAGGATAGAGGTATGTTGCTTTAAGAGCCCGACAAATGATATTCGTATGCCAGCTAACCCCAACTGAGTATGACTAGATTAGGAAATAGCAGGACAGAGCAGGTGTAAGGTATTAATGTTTTAGTTCATTAGTTTTATCCTGAAGACGAAAGTTCCTTAGGGAAGTATAAGAAGTAGAGTGACATGTTTGAATTGGTTAGATTGTGCAGAGTATTTTAGAACAAGTAGAAATTGTAGAGTGGAATGTCTCTCAAGAAGGTTACTTTTGTCACTCCAGGCATGCAGTCCTAAAAAGGAAGGAGGTACAGTAAGAGAAGAGCTCATGGAAGAAAATCAGAGGGAAGGAAGAGTGGGAAAAGAGGACACTCTAAAGGCATGGAGGAGGGGCCAGCCCCGTGGCTTAGCGGTTAACTGCGCGTGCTCCACTACTGGTGGCCTGGGTTCAGATCCCGGCCGTGCACCAACACACGTGTCCAGCCATGCTGGGGCAGTGTCCCACATACAGCAACTAGCAGGATGTGCAACTATGACATACAACTATCTACTGGGGCTTTGGGGAAAAAAAGGAGGAGGATTGGCAATAGATGTTAGCTCAGCGCCGGTCTTCCTCGGCAAAAAGTGGAGGATTGGCATGGATGTTAGCTCAGGGCTGATCTTCCTCACAAAAAAATAAATAAATAAATAAAGGCATGGAGGAGATAGCAGTTAGGAGATGAGAGCAACCTCGAATCTGAGCCGGGGTTAGAGAAGAACTAACTGCAAGTGGCTATACAGTAAGAACCTCTTAGGTTCTCATGTGCCAGGCTTCATGCTGGGACTTGACTTACCTTTTCTCTTGGAATCCTCACTACAGTCCTGGAAAGTACAGCTATTATCCTGATTTCATAGATAAGGAATGAGGAAGAAAAGTTTCTAAAGAATCAAGATGTTAAACTTCACTGACTACTGAGATAAGCTTGAAAAAAAGGCCAGTTGGGAATAGAAACCTTTGAATCTGACTCTGAGATTGTTGTCATTTACAGACGACAGTACGAAGGCAGTTTCTGTTAGTGTCTGAAGTCAGTAAAGGGAATCCAGTAAAGAGATGGAGGAGCAGAAGAAAACAGACTGCTCATTGAATTTGATTCAAAGGGGACCACTAAGATTAGAGAAACCACGATTGAATGATGGCTATTTGGAGATGAGAGAGAAAAATGTTCCTTGTACTACATTTGGGAAAACTCCTGAGGGGCCAGGACAGGACAGAATCAAGGTAGAAAGAAACTGTTGGGTCTAAGTGTACATGTAGAAAAACTGGTGCTATTTCTTTCACTGAATAATATTCCAAAGTCAGATATATATGTATAGTTGGGGAATTGCCCCCTTTAAAGGCCTTTATTATTATATATGGTTATTAATATTATATCTATAATTATATATATAGTTATTAATAT